CCCTGGCCATTTCCATGCCAGGCCTGTGGAGCCGTGTGCAGCGATGCCTCGTACAGTTGGCAGCTCTCCTCAGCCTGCTTTTCCTTTTCTTTGGTCTGGTGTCCTGGGCCCACTCCACAAAGGGTCAGGAGACGCTGGCATGATGCCAGCTCCTAGCTCTTGGGAGCAAGTGGCACTTTTTTTGCCTGAAGGATTTGGAGCCAGGCTTAGCTCTGGGATCTCTGACCTACAAGCAAAATGGAAACGCGGCTGCCTTTTCTTCTGGAATCTCATCATTCAGCATCAAAACATGACACATTCCAGAAACTGGATGGAAAACGTGGGCTTTCGTAGTTTGTAAGTTTTTTTATGATGGGCCAGAAGTTGCAAAATCCCTCATTAGGCCTTTCCCCCCGACAATTTTGTGGGTTTTTCCTAAGCTGACACAGCACTAGAGGCCAGGCAAACCTCCCTCTGGCTGGATCATCATGTCCCCATGTCCTGGAAAAGGGGGGTGTCTGCCCGAAAGTACCACAGTTGCAAGCTGGGGGTGGGGGACAGAGCAGGGCTCCCCCAAGGCAATGTCTCAGACACAATTCTCAGTGGGTTTCCGTGACTCAGGGCAAGACGTCAGCCCTGCCACAGAACCCCAGGCAACAGTGTCTGTCTGTCTGCACCACGGAAGAGCTCCCTGCCATCTGGGTGAGAGCAAACCAGCCATTGCTTCCTCACAGAGGATGAAGGAGGCAGCTTCCGCACCATGACACATCTAACAAACATTTGACCTGCTGTCTCCTCTGTACACATCCACAGAGCCACATGCACAGTGTCCCCAAAAAACTAAGCAGGGCATTTGTAGCTGTATGAGAAAGAAACTGCACGCTACGGAGAGTGGGATCTACAAGTCAGAGGTAGAACACCTGCCTAGAATCCCCCAGTGAGGAGCTGGGGTGTGGCTTGGTAGTAGAGCACTGGCCTTGCATGCACAATGCCTTGTTCTAGCACCAGCACAAAAAAAAAAAAAAAAAAAAGAGAGAGAGAGAGAGAGACAGGCACGGGGATGGTCCAGCTATAATCCAAGAAGTGAGAGGACGGAAGCCAGTGTGGGCTGCATCAGCATGAGTTCCAGACTAGCCAGGGCCACACAGCAAGACCCTCTCTCAGAAGGAAAAGAAAAAAAAAGGGTTGTAATGAATCCACCACTTTGCATACTAAAAAAAAAAAAAAAAATGCATGAAAGCCTGGTTGTTGGTGCATGCATGGTTTTAATCCCAGCACTCAGAAGCAGAGGCAGGTGATTGCTGAGTCAGAGACCAGGCTGGTCTACAGAGCAAATTCCAGGCCAACCAAGTTACATTGTGAAACTTTGTCTCAAAAAAAAGAAAGGAAGGAAGAAAGGAAGGAAGGGAGGAAGGGAGGGAGAGAGGGAGGAAGGGACGGTAGGAGAGAGGAAGGGAGGGAGGGAGGGAGAGAAGAGAAGAGAAGAGAAAAGAAAAAAAAAGAAAAGAAAAGATTTATTAAAAATATTCAGATATATACAAATCCTGGATGGATTTTGAAAATACCCAGGCACAAAGACCACATGCCACAGGATTCCACCTGAGAAATGTCTAGAACAAGAGAATGTTTAAAGCCACTAGGGAGATGAGCAGGCAACGGCTGGAGGAGAAGACGAGGCATAACCGCTCATGAACACAGGATGGTGAGTATGTTCCGAAGCTAGACAGTGCATTGGCCATACAAGGCTGCCAATGTACTAAATGCCCCTCAACCGTGCATTTTAAAGTGGTAAGTTTGGGGAGGGGCTGAGGAGGCAGCTCTGCAATTGAGAAGGAGCACTTGCTGTTCTTGCAAAGGACCCGAGTCTGGTTCCCAGCACCTTTGCGGGGTGGCTCAGGACCACCTGTAACTCCAGTTCTGGGGGATCTGTCGCTTCTGTGTCCTCCTCGTGCGGTACCATCACAAGCACAAACCCAATGCTGACAGACACAGATGCATAACCAAATAACTAAATAAGGATTTTTCAGGTAGTGTGTTTGGGGGCATTGAAATGAGTCCATGGGTAAGGGCACTGGCCACCAAGCCCAGAAACCTAGGTTCAATCACTTCTTTGGATCCACAATGATAAAAGAGAAAGATTCCTGTGAGCTGTCGTCTCTGACCTCTACACATCTACCACGCATGTACATACCTACATGTACACACACACACACACACACACACACACACACACACACACACTAAATAAATAAATAAATAAATAAATAAATATGAATTTTAAATTAAAACATAAAAAATGATAAATTTTATGTGTATGTTTTTTTTTTCCTTTTTGAGGTTATTTGTTTGTTTTTTTCTTTTTGAGACAGGGTTTCTCTGTGTAGCCTTGGCTGTCCTGGACTCACTTTGCAGACCAGGCCGGCCTCACAGCGATCTGCCTGCCCTTACCTCCCTGAGTGCTGGGATTTAATGTGTACGCCACCACGTCTGGGTTGTTTTATACCTTTTCAAGAAAGAACAAAACAGAAACAACACGACTGGCCCTGAGCACCCTGGACGCAGTCCACACTTATGTGGCCATCCTTGCCTGCTCTGCTTGCAGGGTGCTCTGCTGGGAACATCATAAAGTGCCCTATGTCCCCCAGCTGAAGGAACTCTCCACAAAGTGAAATGATGGCGTTCTGGCACCGCTGAGGTTTCCCACCCTGAAGAGCCATTAAACCATCAACCCCTTTGACTGACTCGGGCCCTGGACATCTGGGACTCATCAAATGCAGTGAGCTTTAAAAAAAAAAAAAATTTTTTTTTTTTTTTTAAGCTTGCAGTTCCCAGAGTAGCAGACACAGAGGTACCTCCCGTGCTCACAAATCACACTGGTGACAGAGGAGAGCCTTGCTCCAACTCCCACAAAGCCAAGGTCAGCACCAGGGGCCTGACTTCAGACACTTCAGTGAAGTCCATGCAAGAAAGCTGCCATGTAGGGGCTCTGAAGGGCCTCACAACCCCCCTCCCTCCACCGAAGTCCTCCCCCTGCTCCTGCAGCTCAACCCCGCCCCTCTGCAGCCCAGCAGCCCAGCTCTGGGAGCCTCACTGACCCAGGTCACCAGGCAAGGCTTTCAGTGTGCCAACCAACCCTGCCCTGGTGACGAGCCCTGTCTGTGCTACACCCCCCCACACACACATTCCACCTGGGGCCCAGGCACCGGGAGAGGCTAAAAGCACCCTTACAGCATGAGAGAAGCCAGTGCCACACTCTGTGTGACAGTCACATTTGTCACCTGGTATAGCACCTTCCTCTGAACCGAGGGTCGGGCCCCTGTCTGGGCCCCAGCCGTTTTGTGTTCTGCACATGTGTGTGCTTTGAGCATCAGTGGATGGAGCATGCCTGCTCATGGGGCAGTCTGAGAGACTGCTAAAGGAAGCCCTGGATATAGCTGGCCATGAGATGCTCCAGAGAAGTATCAGGCACCAGCCTAATAGTAATTGCCACTGCCATTCATTCTGTGTAAGAATCAAAGCCTCCCTCTTCATCTCTCCTCTCTTGGAGCCTTGTTCGGCTGTTTTTCTTGGACCCCTTAGATAAAGCCCTCCCACCCCAGTGAAAGTTGGGCTGAGAGGCAGGGGCAGCAACGGACAGACAGCTGTCTTTTAAAAAGGCAGGGCTACAAGTCGTGGAGGTTAGAGTCTGGAGCCAGGCCCAGCTAGGGTGGTAGCATCGCAAGCCCCTCCCCACTTCCAGCCCAGGGTCAGGGTGCTGAGCTAGCACTGACCCGGGTCCTCAGGCACAGCCCTCAGCGCAGGCAACGTGGCCCCACACCTGCTTGCTGTTCCTCCTGGGGCCGGGGTGGAGACGATGGCAGAAGCAGAAGCCCCAGATGCATGCTACACTCCCCTCAGCCTGTCGGGGCGGTAGGGGAATGGCCCATCCTTGTTCTGCGGGGCTGCAGGCTCCAGGATTGATGTGTGCGGTGTGAGAGCATTTGGAGAAGGCAGGCCTACCCTGCTTCACCTGGGCAAGGAGTCCGGGGCTAGCAGTGGACATTCCCAGCCCACTCTTGGCTCCAGGAGAGCTGGGCATCCAGAAAGCCTCTCACACCGACTTCAGTTGCCCTAGCAACTGACCTTTCCCTGGAAAGATGGCCCATTCAAGTTGGACTGCAGCAGCTGGCGGCTGGCACTGGGCCTGTACCCCGTAATGAGCTGCCCTTGGCTTTCCTCATCCGGCGCCAATTCTCCTGACAGGAGGAGTTATTCAAGATGCCCACTCTAGGAAAAGACCTTGGAATGCGTTCCCTAAAATATTCTCTAGAACAGCTGCCGTCAATCCCAACACTCAGGACACTGAGACAGGAGGACTACTTTGAGTTGGAGGCCAGGCTGCGCTACACATCCGTGTGAAACTTTGGAGGTTGCAGTCCTGCTTCTGCTGGACAGCTCACTTCACTTTCCTGACCCTCAGGACTTTTATCTGAAATGGACCTCACCGCATCCTGTTGCCAACCAGCCGTAGAGGGGCGTGGCTTTGTAACTTGGCCCGAAAGGCTCCTACCCGCCCCTGTGATCACTGCGGACCCTCTCCACACAGGGTGAAACAGCTCTCAAATGCAACCATGCTCTCGGTGTTCCAGCTATCGGCGCCCACTGACAACACACCATCGCCCTAAATGGTGGCAAACTGCACTGAAAGAGCAAAAGATCACGCGCGGCTCCGTGGAGCTTGGAGCCCAGCGCTGCCAGGCTAGGATCCCCGGTTTCTCCGACTCGGCTTCCTAACCTTGAGTCAGTCCCAGCCAGAAGGTTTCGTGGCTGAGCCTCAGTTTCTTCGTCTGAAAAACGCTTGAAGGAGCTCAGCAGAACGCCGCCGGCACGCAGCCCTGCAGCACCGCATCTGCCCTAGGCAGGGAAAGAGCGGTACATCGCAGCTGAGGCAGGGGGTGGCTAAGAACTCAGGACAGCCTAGGCTACGCGGCGAGACCTGTTCTCATATAAACAAAAGAGCAGCGGGACAGAGTCCCTCTCACCTTCGCGAGACTCTGGACTCAACCTGGGCAGCGCTGGGCGAGCGATTTGCGGAGCCGGGACTCTTGCCGATGCTAGGCGCTGAGAGTGGGTCCTAGACTAGGCGCTCGGTGCCTAGTAGCTTCTTGGAGCATCCTGAGCCACGCCCACGGGGCCATGGGCAGCGCTGATTGGACTGCGCGGCGCCGGCCCCGCCCCGCCCCGTGCCGGAGGAGGTGCTGAGGACCACGGTGCGCAAGGAGAGCGCGGCCCCTAGCCGTGACCATAAAAGTCGTTTTCATTGAGTGCTTACTACCCGCGGCGGGCCAGGCACTCTGTCGGACAGGCGGTGGCCCGCGGACCCCACCCCGCTCTGCCACTCAAGTGAAGGACAGGACGGACTACCGGGAGGCGCGTGCTGAACCCGGGTGTGCGCATTTTTATCACTACCAGTTCCCAGACTAGGAGCCGGAAACACAGGATCTCGGGGTTCCCAGCAATCCAGGGAGGAGGCAGCATCCCATTTCTTGTGGAGAGGTTGTCTCTCCTCCTCGAGAGCCCCGGGGCAGGTTCCAGCAAGTTTAATACCATGTGCCGCTGGGTATTTGGCACCTGAGGCACGTATCCAGAGGTCAGAATCCGGGAAATTACTTTAGGTACGGTTGACTCCCAAACCCTTCAGGGCAAGTGAGCAAAAGGGCCAGAGAGCTATCAGACACCCCAGAGCACCCTCAGTCACAAGAAGTCCACTAAGAGGAGCATTAGCCCACTTACCAGGACAGCCTCCCACTAACACCTCCACAATACTGCCAGGAGCAGAGGCAGAGGACCCCCCTAGCATCTCAGGTCGTCAGGGGGACCCGGATTCCCACCAGAGATCTTTGCCCAAGATTTTGGTGCGGCACTGTGCAGATAAAGATTTAGATTTATGGTAGTATCTTTTTTTTTTAAATGTCCTTCCTTTCTGCTCTCAGTTTTGGAAGCATCCTCTGACCCGCAATCGATCATCCAATACCTGACACTACCAGCCGGACTCTTCCAAGTACCTGAGGAGTCAGTGCTGAATAAAAGGGCTCGGAAACAGTCTTCCGTGTTCCACGTGCTGCTCTCGGGGTGTCGAGGACCCCAGCCTTACTGCCCCCAAACACGGGTGCTGTTGCCATCATTCTTGATGAAGGGACTGACCAGCACAGAGATCCCTGGACACATCCCTGAGTCACAGGCCTCCAAAGTGCTCAGACCCGCTCTGTTGCCATTGTCTGACCGTTAAGCCTTGGATGCAGGGGAACAGGATAAACTGGGTCCTAGTTCCATACCCGCCCAGGAATGGGAAGTGATGAGGGGCAGGGTTCTTCTTCTGCAGCACCCCCGACATTTGGGTGGGAGGAGATTGTTAGTAATAAGGAGTCCCAGGCTCTGGCCAGGCCCCAGAACACCTCACTACTGATGCTTTTTGGGGTAACCCTGAAAAGGCTCGGTGTGGCCCTTAGACACTCCCTTCCCACCCAAGCATCCTACAAGCTTCAGGTCATCTTCAGGTCAAATTGCCATGCCAAGTCTCCCTCAGCCTGGGCCATCCCAGCCCCAGATCCGGAACCTTCAGATCTCCCTCCTGCTATCCCTCAGTTTCCCCTTTCCCTTCCTTCTGTGGCCTTCTCACCTAACCCACCCCAGGTCTCCTCCTTCCTTCAACAAAGATTGTTTCTGTAATGTCAGGAGCTATGCAAGGCACTTCAAGGGCATCTTCTGGTCAGCTTCTCACAGCCTGGTGCAGAGGTGGCTCTGCTTACACATGGGGACGCTGGGAACAGGTAGGTGAAGGCACTTGTCCAGGGTCACCCAGTTGTTCACTGGTAGGGCTGGGACCCCAACCCAGGAAGCCTGTGCCAGAGCCCCTACAGTGTCTCAACAAGACTGCCACACTGACACCTAATTACCCAGGGAAGATATGGGGGTGGGGGACCTGGTGAGATCCTCAGGACTTGTAAAGAGGACCTGAGAGTTCTGTTGCCCATTCCACTTGTTCGAGCATGGTGTAAAAGCCATCTATATCTATGAATTCGGCAGCCTTTGAGAGCTTCACTTTCCAGGCTCCACTGTGTATAAACCCATCAGCCAGTGGCATTTAGTCTGAGCAGCCCAAAGGGACCAGAACAACCTATAACCTTGGCCTCTAAGTCATGCGGCTGGAGCAGATTAGGGATTTTGTATTTATACAAAATGAGCACACTGGACACTTCAGAACTATTTCATTTCTTGTTAATCTTTTGGGGAAGCTAAACAAACGTCTCAAATGGAATGTCACAGTTAGTACTGCTGTATAACAAACTGCCCTATATTCTAGTGTCTGGGCTGGGGATGTTCTGGTTGGACAGTGGTTATTTAGTGCTAATGATATATGTGAGTGTGTTCATATATATGTTTTGATAGCCAGCATTATGTCATCACACACACACACACACACACACTAGACATCTTTAGCAGCCTTCCCCCTCCCCCCTTTTGGCCTATAATGCACTAGATGAGGGAATCTGGAAAGATGTGGCTGCAGTCAGCTGTTGACTGGGGCTAGACGCGAGGATCGTATTTGATATTGGCTGTAGGGCGGGAGGGAGGCCAGCTGGGCTGCTGGCTGTGGCGGCCCCAGCCTTTCCAGTGGACCATGTTAGGTGGTCAGACTTTTCCCAGGGGTCCTAGCTGCGCCTACAGCAAGTATCCTCGAGAACCAGAACCAGATGTCTTGCGAGGCCTTTGATGACCTGGTGTGGGAGGTATGCCTTGCTCTGTTGCTGAAACCACAGAGCCTAATCAGCTTCAAGGAGAGAGGCACAAACCACCTACACAAGTGGAAATGAAGGCATTTGCAGAGCTCTCAGGAGAACCCTCTGAGGATGACCAGGAACCATATGGCCACTCAGTTAAAAAAAGCTGGCAGCCCTAGGGGCTGAGCACCTAAGCTAGTAAATGAGCACCACCACGAGTCATGGGAGTTTTGAGTGTCAGTTCTCATGCCCTAGCCGTGTGCCTCAGCTCAAGTCACCTGACCTCTCTGAGGAACACCAATGGGGCAAATGGCATCCTTGGCTTGTTGGTTGGTGTCATCCTGAGCCAGTCAGCGCGAGTTCAAACCCTAGCAGCTTCCATCTGTTGCCTTGAGAGAGTTGCTAATTTCTGTGCTAAGGTGTCCAATGGTGACCATCACAGCCACAGCCTACCCCTACCCTGTTTCTTAAATCACTAAATGGTTAATGTGGAAACCAGTGGAGCAGGATGTGACATCAGGGGTTAACATAGGTGCTGCCAGGGCCACAAGGCTCTTTCTGGCTCAGCTCTAGTCAAATTTCCCATCATTTTGCAACCTCTAGATATAGTTTCTTTAAAAAGGAAAAGAGAAAACTTACAGCCTTTGTATTTGAGTAATGGCAATGTGGGTGTTGCGGATGCCTGGGAGGCTCCCAAGGAGAAAGGGCCAAGATGCGTGTAGTTGTCCCCGGGGGGGGGGGGGGGGGGGCTGACCACAGACATCCTGGGAAATCCTAGCAGGAGTGCCCTTGTGACCTGGGAGAGAGTTGGGTTCTGGGGAAAGCTGAGACAAGAGGGAAAGTCCTTCCAGGCCTGAGGGAGCCAGATCTGGAAAGGTCTGCTCAGGCCTAAAGAGCGGACCCTGAGCCCACTCTCCCCTCCTAGGGACCAAGTGAGCAGATGAGGGGCCACATCAGGCTGTGAGATGGAGGTGGGCAGTGGTCCAGTGATCTGATGCTTGAGAGCAAAAGACGCAGACTCTCCTGACCCTGTGTCAGTCTCTGGCTGCTGGCTCACATCCCGCTGAGTTCTTATCCACCAGCTATTTTTATCAGTTTTTGAGCTGGACACGGAGCACCAAGGCCAGGGAGTTCCTCTGCTCACTGGTTTCTGTGCACCAACGAGCAACTACAGAACATCACCAGCCACAACTGCGTCAAAGACCACTAACGATTGGCGTTAAAGGACATGGGGTACCACTTTCTGATGGGTACAGCTCAGGAAGAACGGAAGAGAGATGCTGAGCCTCTGCATCCTTTGTGCTCGTTCCTCTGGGTGACACCGATACTGGCTGGGTGGGGAGGAGGGTACAAGTGGGGTTCACAGCTTGCTGTGACAGGAGCTCGGAGGACACTGGGACCAAGCTTCTATGAAATCAAAGTTTCAAATGCCGGAAACCCTGGAGTAAGCTTCACAATGCGGCCACAGAGAAGATGCAGGAAAGCACGGAGTCCAAGCCCACCAAGACACTCCAAGGACTAGAGGTGGTCCCAGACAGGTGCCGGAGGCCCTGAAATCCTTCCAGATGCCAAAATTTAAACCAGCAAGGGGGAAAGAATTAGGAGGCAGAGGCAGAGTCGTCAGGGGCTGAGAGCAGGGACCTTCCAAAGGGCTCAGGAAAAGGGTTCATGCCTTTTGTCATCCATCACAAGTGAGCACTTAGCAACAAGGTTGTCACCTTGGAAGCCGCAGGCAGACCCCACCAGACGGCCTTGATTGGGCCTTCTTGGACCTCAGAACTATGGGAAGTACATGTGTACCGTTTGCGAGGCTGAGAGTAGAGTTCAGAGGTAGAGCACTTGCCTCGTATGTGTGAGGCCTTTGGTTCAATCTCTAATGTCATTTTTAAAAATTAACTAAAAAATAAACTTCTGGGGCTGGAGAGATGGATCAGTGGTTAAGAGCACTGGGTGTTCATTCTTCCAGGGGACACTGGTTCAATTCCCAGCACATACCTGGCAGCTCACAGCTTTCTGTAACTCAAATTCCAGTGGATCTGACTCCCTCACACAGACATATATGTAGGCCCGACACCAAATAATACATAAAAAATAAATTAATTAAAAAAATAAACTTCTGGCATCTGGAGAGATGGCTCAGAGATTAAGGACTTAGCTGCTTTGTGGAGGACCTGAGTTCAGTTCTGAGCACCCACATCTGGTGGTTCACAAACACCTGTAGTTCTAGGTCCAGGTGAATCAGAGACCCTCTTCTGGTCTCAGAGGCACTCTCAGGCAAGTATGTGCACACACACACATATATTATTAATGAAAATAAATAAATCTTGAACACAAGTGTCTAGTCTC